GCTAGCTGGAACAAACTCTGGCATCCAAAGAAGTGTTACAAGCCAAGATGACTACTCTTATCTATCTCATTAGATGGCTTCTCTACTTCATGTCAAGTCTTCTCCGTCTCTTTTGCACACCCTCCTTCACTTGTCAGGTTATTAGCCGTTGTTAATAACTTGCCTTACTTCCATCTGTATTTCTATGTTTCCTCATTTTGATAATACCTCATGCTCCAATTAAATTAGAATTGCCAACTTATGCAGGTCAGTCTTTTGGATTAAACATAGCAGTCTTATCCCACAAGTTACTTGGGTAATTGTGGAATGAGTAGATATGGTTAAATATAAAATAAATGAATGGCAGAACTGCCCAACAAACAGATTTTCACAAATCTTGCAATAAACAATTACAAGAAAAGAACAGAGCAAAAAATAATGTGAAGCAAGCAAACAGTATATGCAAGACAAATTAACAGTAATAAGGCAAAGCAAGAGTTACATGGTAAAAAGTTCACAAACTAAGTGATATATTCCATAGGAATATATACTTGAAAAACAAAGTGGATAAAATAAGTAAAGGTTTATTATAAAAAACAGTACAATAAGAATAAAGGTAACAGTTATGCACAAGGTCATCACAAGTCAATCCAGTAGTGAATGCTACTATTGAAAGGTTGGTAGTTCTCGCGTAAGTCTGAGTGGTACTCAACAGATCCAGAGCTAGTATATTTAGCTACACCACCACATGGGTTGCATGTGGCAAAAAGTCTGGTTTAACATAGGTTCTCCGAGCCCGTAGGCTCAGCCCAAAATATTCCCTTTTGAACCCGTATAAATAGGTTCAGGGTCAGTCCACCTCCCCGAACGAAACTCTGCCCTTCAGCGGAGCCTCATCCTGATTCGTCTCTGCCTTTGGGCAGAGAGTTCGACTGTCTAGCTGGAACAGATCCCAGCTAGTATAGTTAGCTACCCCCCACGAGGGTTGCCTGTGACACAAGGCTGGTTTAACGTAGGTTCTCCGAGCACATAGGCTCGGCCAAAAATATTCCCTTTTGAACCCATATAAACAGGTTCAGGAGCAGTCTACCTCCCCGAATGAGACTCTGCCCTTTGGCAGAGCCTCTTCCTGGTTCCTCTCTGCCCAAAGGCAGAGAGTTTGACTGTTTAGCTGGAACAGATCCCAGCTAGTCTCTGTAGTCTGTTGACTTACAGATACTTATAGGTAGTTACTCATAGGGGTGACAGGTTATTCTATTACATCACTAAGAATTGGGGTTGAGATTCAAAAGAAAATTCAAACACGTAAACATAGCATTCTGACAAGACAGACCAAGACTGAGTTAGATTTTAGTAATGTTGTCCTGGGTGGGTTATTGAAATAATAACTAGAATGGCAATTTACAAAATATAAGGGTTTATTCTAAACATGAACAATACAAGTAGATATTTACAAGTTTGTCTGAAGCTGGAAAGCAAGCCCCACTGAGGTCAACACCATAGATGATTATATTACTACTGGCACAGTCCATTTAATAGAGGTGTATCAGTTGTTTGTATACTGAGGGTTATCAGTTCGATCCCTGCAACACAGATGAAACCAAGAACCAGCCTATTTTATTGGCTAGGAAAAAATCCCAGCATGCATTTGTGTGCTTCAGTCTATAAAATGGGGAGGACAAATGTTTCGCAGTCATTCCTAGCATAGATTGAAATCAACAGTAATATTCATTAATATTAATATTCATTAAGCACTTAATGGGCTTTTAATCTAACATGATATCTTATTCTTATATGCACCTTGTCACTTCAGTGATCATGGCTCTCCACAATTTCCTGTCCTTTGTAACACTTAATTTTGTTTTTTCATTATCTCTCCTAATCCCTGTTCTGCCATCCATTTGCTAAGTGGTTTATGCCCTATTTTACTCTCCCTATTGCCTTCAATCTGTCCTGTGAGTATCAAATTTTCCAAGCCCTCTTTCCTCATTATCTGTCCTAGAAATTTCAAGTATCTTTTTCTTATTCTAAGCATATGTGTTCTTTTTTGTTTCCATTTTCTCTAAAACTTTGTCATTTCTCACATGTTCATTCTGTGGTAGCCTCAACATCCTTCTGCATAGGCACATTTCTGTTGCTTCATGTCTCTTCTTCATCTGTGAGGAAATTGTATATTCACTGTCTGGCAAGTCATCTTTTCCTTGTTTATAGTGATCAGAACCAGCCTTCTTCACTGAAGAAGATGCTCAGACAGGGTTTCGAAACTGTAAAATTTCTTATTTCATTTTATTTCTTCATCTGTTTTACGTGATTAGCCCTAGGAAATACCAGATGGTCTGAGTCAAATTTAATGTCAATAAGGAAATTTTATTCCAAGAAGAGCAAGATACATCAGAAGATTGACGTAAAAGGTGACCTCATATCAGATTTGAACTTCACAGGATATCAGTGGCTGGCCTCAACCTGTAAAAACAGTTGACCCAGCTGCTCTTTGGTGTGCAGACATATGACAACTGGATGAAAAGAACACTATTTACATTATTCAGACTATTTTCCTCATTTTTTTGCCATATTTATTACAACGTTTCGGCCATTGTATGCTTCAGCCTTCTTCAGGTGGTTAGAATGTCAAACTGAACCCTTTATTTCACTCACTGGGGTAGACTGTTCTAGTTCCATGTGCCATGTTTAATGGATGTCACTTGTCAGTTATGTCCTGTTAATTCCCCTCTCCAAGTTATCCACTGCATTAACCGGGTATTGAACGCACACTCTTTGGGTCCTGTCACTGAATCTATCTAATGCCTTTATAAAGAAGATAACTGACAACTGCCATTCATTAAACATGGCACATGGAACTAGAACAGTCTACCCCAGTGAGCGAAATAAAGGGTTCAGTGTGACATTCCAACCACCTGAAGAAGGCCGGAGCGTACAATGGCCGAAATGTTGTAATAAATATGGCAACAAAGGTGAGGACAATAGTCCAAATAATGTAAATAGTGTACATAATACCTCATCTCAGAAATATAGACAGATATTGAAGGATCGGATAAATATGACAACAAAGATGAGGACAATAGTACGAATAATGTGAATAGTGTACATAATACCTCATCTCAGAGACAGATACTGAAATTATTTTTTAGAGTGTAAGAGCTTTTTGGCGATAATAATGATTTTACTGATGCAAGTTCTACTGATTAACTCATAACACGGATTCATACTTTTTCCAAATGTATTTGCATGTAAGTGAAATAACAAACCAGACTGGAATTAGAACTCAGCACTTTGATATCAAATTCCGAGCCCTTTTTAATTACATCACCCACACATCCAAGCTTACATCACTTGATATTCAAAAGTGGTCACCAATCTCAGTACACCAATCAGGCTTAATGTTGCTTAACTTTGGTGATCATATAAGAACTTGTGTTTCAATGGACCAATGTTTGGAGAAAGCCTCCAAAGCCACATATACTTATACACTGATTATTAATTAAGTCCAGGGGTGACTGAACAGCCATTTTACATATCAGGGATTTACTCTTACATCTTTATAATAATAATATTATAAAATATCCCAAATTTAAGCATCTGTAAAATCAAGTCATTTCTTGAATTCAAACAATCTTAGACCCTTCCTTCTTTGTCATCTTGCACTCCTCTGGGATGCAAATGTGTAGAGGAATGCCAAATTCCTTCTAATGTATAATAACATTATAATATTATTAATATTAATATAAAAAAAAAAACGAAATAAGATAAAATAAAATTTTGCGAAAAAAATGTGGTTCTGGTGTGCCATGATCTTATAAGCAATTAATCATAGCAACACACTCCCAATAATCTTCATATAAAAGAAATTAGAAAACAATACATTGGAAGGTTGTGTGGGGCTCACAGACATACCACCATGACCCTACAATGAGTCGTGTGAGAATCAGCGTTTTAAAGCTGAAATATATTTTTTGTGACTGAATATTTTGTTAAGTATATTTTCGATAAAAGAAAAAAAAACAATTTCCTTAATGACAAGTCCGACTATTTAAGCAAGTGTTAGATTCATACCAAGCCAAAGTGGATTTGCAGTTAAGTAAATATAACGATAGCAACCGGAATTCTAACACTGCTCTTCATTTTCTAATTTTGATGTATAATATAAAATATCCTAATCAAGCCATTTCTTGAATTCAAACAATCTTAGACCCTTCCTTCTTTGTCATCTTGCACTACTCTGGGATGCAAATGTGTAAAAATCAAGCCATTTCTTGAATTCAAACAATCTTAGACCCTTCCTTCTTTGTCATCTTGCACTCCTCTGGGATGCAAATGTGTAAAAATCAAACCATTTCTTGAATTCAAACAATCTTAGACCCATCCTTCTTTGTCATCTTGCACTCCTCTGGGATGCAAATGTGTAAAAATCAAGCCATTTCTTGAATTCAAACAATCTTAGACCCATCCTTCTTTGTCATCTTGCACTCCTCTGGGATGCAAATGTGTAAAAATCAAGCCATTTCTTGAATTCAAACAATCTTAGACCCATCCTTCTTTGTCATCTTGCACTCCTCTGGGATGCAAATGTAAAAATCAAGCCATTTCTTGAATTCAAACAATCTTAGACCCTTCCTTCTTTGTCATCTTGCACTCCTCTGGGATGCAAATGTGTAAAAATCAAGCCATTTCTTGAATTCAAACAATCTTAGACCCTTCCTTCTTTGTCATCTTGCACTCCTCTGGGATGCAAATGTGTAAAAATCAAGCCATTTCTTGAATTCAAACAATCTTAGACCCTTCCTTCTTTGTCATCTTGCACTCCTCTGGGATGCAAATGTGTAAAAAAATACCAGATTCCTTCTGATGTATATTACCAGTTACTTAATAACTGTACTTTTCCTGAGGACGTAGCACAACTGCTCTATATTAAGCAAATACAACACAGTGCTAAGTAATTTGAGGGTAAACAAATCATCATCATTTCAACCTATTTCTTTTAAAGGTTTTCTTTATCTTTTCAGGAGTCTGGATCCAGTTTTGGGGAAGAGCTTATTTTAAAGAAAGTGATAGCAGTGCATCTGACTGTGGATCCAATTTTGGTACTGAAGATGCCACCGAAACATATTATTATTTTAACATGAAACTCTATGAATCTGGTAAGAATGTTATATATAAAAAACAAAAATTTCTGTTTCTTGATCGAATTTATCTCAAAAATTTGTCTTTAGCTTACTTGAACATTTCTTACATGATATGCCCCAAAAGAGAATCAATTTATTGAATGTGAAATTTGCATGTAAATGAAATGTTGCCTTCTCTGGTTAATCTGATCTAGAAAAAGCCAGCCAGATCTATCCAACCAAACACATGCATTTTTTTACAACTGAATTTAAAGACACAAACTGGCAGTAAAGGACTATATACTCAATATAATCAGCTCAAGCAACTTTTGAGAGTGACTTTTTTTTCTTCATTAATATATGACCAAATTACAATGCCATGACATCAGAATTCTGTAGATGCCTTACTTGAATGACAAGTTTAAATCTGGAGGAAATCAATGAATTTAGTCCCAGTGATGACTAAGACTTCACAGTAAGCATATATATATATATATATATATATATATATATATATATATATATATATATATATAATAATAATATAAATATAAGTAATTATACTCATCTGGAAAAACCTTAGGTGTTTTGGTTTGTAAATGAACAAATCAATACCCAAGGAAGAATAAGGGATAAAAAAAAAAGAAAGAAATAAGAACATGAAATTGAGGCGAAAACAATCATCCAGAATCCATGTTCAGATTCCAAAGAAAAAAAACCTCCAAAATGAGTAAAGCAAAAGTAACTACATAAAGTGCTCAATACACTAAGTAGAGCATATCTAACTATGGACCTAAAGAGCCAGGCAAACCTACCTAGATTTCACCTACATGAATCGTCAGGGTAAGCCCGGCGAACCCTGACGATCCACGTAGGTGAAACCTAGGTAGGTTTGTCTGACTCTTTAGGTTCATAGTTTTTATATATATATATATATATATATATATATATATATACATATACTCCTAGTGAGCCAGACAAACCTACCTAGGTTTCACCTAAACGGATCGTCAGGGAAAGTTTGGCTCTCAAAACGAGTCTAGTTATCTATATATATATATATATATATATATATATATATATTCAATTTAAATAAAAAACAGACAAACTTAAGAGTCCATTGGTTGTTATAATTTATTTCCCCAGGTATATGATTTTTATCTGGTTCATCAGACCACACTTCCAACGGTGAAAAATCATATACTTGGGGAAATAAATTATAACCAATGGAGCCTTAAGGTAGTCTGTTAAAATTGAATTAATAATTGCTCTGATTTGACACTTGGCTCTCTGGATTACCTCCTCCTTGGGATTATCCATACGGATTACCAAACTTTTCATTACAACTATATATATATATATATATATATATATATATATATATATATATATATATATATATATATTCATAACACTGACCTTCTTGCAACCATGGTTTCCACCAAAATGGCTTCATCAGGCAGCAAGATAAATCAATCTAGACAGAAACTATGGTTGCAAGAAGGTCAGTGTTTTGAATATTTTATATTTTAACTTGCCCTACATTTTCATTTTATGAAAATCGTATTGAACACTCTTTTAATTTAGCCATAGTTTTGACAAATATCATTTTCAACAAAGATTGAAATTATATATATATATATATATATAATATATTAATATACTGAATATTAATAATATATATCATTTACTAATTATTAAAATCAGTAATATATATTTTGAATTTTTAAAATATTTTATTTCTTTTAGTTTCCATGAAAATGAACCAAGCCACATATTCATGAGTAAAATGCCAGTCTCATAGCCTGAGCATAATCTTATCACAATATATATATATATATATATATATATATATTTAGCATGAAGGGATTAACTTGTGTAAATATTTTACAAATTGAATTTAAACTCTAGTTATTTTAAAATTACATGTGTTCATAGGATAGCAGTTATCTGCATAGGAATAATATATGTATAGCAAAGTAATGGAAGTAAATTAATTCAGTTTTCCTTCTCCTAGACTGGCTTCCACTCAAGGCAACAGAATGCTCATTCTGCACTGCTATTTAACATACTGCTGGATAAAGATGGAAACCTGCCTTTACAAAGGCTATTAGTATGAAGTGAATGAAACAGAATTGATTAGATTTTGGACTTGGTTATACACTTCCATTTTTTTGCACCAATAACTATTATGCATTTAGAATATATAATAATCTTTATTTAGTAGTGATGGTAATGGTAAAATTATCCGATTCCTTTAGGCATTTATTGACTTTATAAATTCCTTTTCTTAAAAGAATTTCTCAGAAAAATAAACTTCTCAAACCTGATGAATGTTATAGCTCTTTCTAATATTGATGGGAGTTATAGCAACAGTATAATGAAGGCTCATCTTTAAGATGTATAGGATTAATTCTTTTGAAGCCATTTTTAGCCATTTATCTGAAAAAAAAAAAACAATTATATGCAGATATTAGTTTAGATATTTCTGGATGAGTTGTATGACATACAAATGGAAGTCGAGTTTTGATAATGTTAGAATATGGTTCAAGTTTTCAGTTTACCTTTCATTTTGTGTTATCTTACAGTGCTGGACAAAATTTCTATATCAACTTTCTTATATCCTATACTAAATTTATAACTGATTACACTGAGGTTTTTGTGGGGCACCTTGAGGCGGTGTAATGGTTAGCAAGCTTGGCTCGCCAGAACAATTATGACTGAGTAGTGAGTTTGATCCTCACTGGGTACCCCCCTAATTTCGGCCTTGTGCCACATCTAAGCTACACTTGGAAAATCACTGGGGCACCTCAAGGCGGTGTAATGTTTAGTAAGTTTGTCTCGCTAGAACAATTATGACTGAGTAGTGAGTTTGATCCTCACTGGTTGCCCCATGCTTTTCGCCTTGTGCCAAATCTAAGCTGTGCTTAGAAAATCATTTTAGGACACTTTGGCATGATGTAATGGTTAACAAGCTTGTCTCGCTAGAACAATTACAACTGAGTGGTGAGTACGATCCTCACTGGGTGCTCCATACTTCCAGCTTTGTGCCAAATCTAAGCAGCGCTTAGAAAATCACTACACTGAGGTATTTGTATTAGGAAATAAAATAAATTTGAATTAAAATGTTTTAAATATTATTATTTTATTATGTAACAAACAAGTTTTTTTTTTTTTTTTTGCTAATCTAAATAATAATTTCAGTTAAAGCCTTTTTTAATAAAATATATTCAAGAATTAACATGACAGATAATCTGTTTCCTTGCAATCATAACTGATGAGCTAAGAGAATAATTTATATATTATATATTTTATATTAAATTTGGAATTTCTTAGATAAGGTTTAATAATTCTTTATGTAAATACAAAAATGTAATCTGCTTTTTATTTATTGTTGTTTTTACTAAGTTTAATGTCATGATGAACTTAGCCACGTTTAAAATTCATTGACCAAATAGTGTCAGTGTTGATTGAAATTTATAAAGCTTTATATTAAAACAATTTTCAGAAAATTAGATTTCTCAAGTCTACTAAATGTTATAGCTCTTTCTAATATTGATAGGAGTTTTTTTTTCTGAACGTTTTTGTTTTTTGGTAGTGTGAAAAGTTAACAGATTGATTATTATTTTTTCTTTTATTTCCATGTATTACTTATCTTTGTTATTGCTGCTATTGGAAATGTTCAAATGATGTGGTTTTTGCTATTTGATTAAGTTCTTTCTAATATTATAGCATCAGTTTAATGAAGGATCATCTTTAAGATGTACAGGATTAATTCATTTGAAACCATTTTTAGCCATTTATCTGAAAAAACAATTATATACAGATATTAGTTTAGATATTTCTGAATGTGTTGGATGCCATGTATGACATACAAATAAAAGACTACTTTTGATGAGGTTACTTAAGAACATGGTTCCAGTTTCTGTTCAATATTTTTGTTTTCTAATACATCGGTTGACATTTTTTTATCACCCAAATGTTGTTGGGCAATGGACACACGTTTCTGGGTTATTTTTTCACACTGAATCTGAAAATCAAGTCCATTTTTTTCCCCATCACATCACGTTTTCTCAGTACAGATAATTTGTTTTGCTTAATGATGTAATGGAATAATCTGTCACTCCCATGAGTGACTATGCTATAGATAGTAACTACCTATAAGTAGATGTAAATCAACAGACTACAGAGACTAGCTGGGGTCTGTTGAGTATGACTCAAACTTACACAAGAACTACCGACCTTCCAGTAGTGGCACTCAATACTGAATTGACTTGCGACGACCTTGTACATAACCTTTATTCTTATTGTACTGTTTTTTTTACAATAAAACTTTAATTATTTTATCCACCATGTTTTTCAAGTACATATTCCTATTAGCACGGAATATAAAATAGGCCAAAATGCCTAATTCACAGGTATATGCCATGGCTTGAATATGCGAGTGACATAGTTGAAACATTTCATTTCATATTAAAATGATTTATCATTCAAGAAAAAGTATCCAAATAACTTTCAAAATGAATTCTAAGCTATTTCAGTTCAGATAAGCTGACCTGAAAATGCTTGATTTTATGAGAGATATCTCACTGGAAAATGTTCTTGTGCCCTCAATGTTCTTAGCTTGTTAAAACTTTGTGATTTGTGTTTCTTCTCTACTTTTCATTGAAGAAGCTCTTTAGAAGTGATTCAAGAACAGCAATTTTAGTTTAGTAGTTTTCACTTTAAGCCTGAAACCTTCATAAGATTTTATTGTATCACTTGAATTTACGGAGGTCTGGTATTGTCATGCAGTCACTGTATATCATGCATAGGAACTTTGATAAATGAGGGTTGTTAGGCAAGTTTAAGAGACTAGCAAGATTAGAATTTTCTTTATCAGTGCTTAAAATAGCCACCACATCTCAGATAGTCATAGCCAACTAGACACTTTTCCTACCCATCCTCAACACCACCAGCATCTTGTCTGACAAGGTCCTTTAAACTACTCGGGTGCAACATGAGTATCAAGATTCACTTTCTGTTTAGTAACCTCAATCAGTTTCTTAATCATCTTGGTGATTATAGTGATGAACAGGGAGAGAGGTTTCATCAGGATCTCAAGGTAATTGAAGAAAGATACAAAGGCAGATGGGATGTTAACATGATGGCCGATTTCTGTTGGAGCATCAAAAGAGATCAACCTTTTCAAAAGCACCTTAGAGTTTCCAAGAAGAGAAGATTTATACGTTTGGATGGACAAAGATGAATGCATTTTTCATTCCTTTGCATCTTTGTTTTGATTCAAAAATTAATGACACATGTTTGCCTTAATTTAATTTTGTGTGAGATTTTCTGCAGACTTTTTCTGCACTGAAAATGCATTCTTTAAGTTATTGGGATAATTTTTCTTTTATAAGTTATTCTAACCTGAAAACATTCAAGATTGGTTCTACTTGGTCCTGGCATATCACTGTTAAATGGGTATTTTGGCCTATTTTAAGAAAAATAGAAATTATCTGTACTGAAAAGAAGGCCAGAGCATAAAATGGCTGAAACATTGTGATAAATATAGGAACAAAGATAAAGACATTAGTCCATATAATGTAAATAGCGTACATAATACCTCATCTCAGAAATATAGGCAGATACTGAAGGATTGGATAAATATGGCAACAAAGATGAGGACAATAGTCCGAATAATGTAAATAGTGTACATAATACCTCATCTCAGAAATATAGGCAGATACTGAAGGATCGGATAATTATGGCAACAAAGATGTTGACAATAGTCCGAATAATGTAAATAGTGTACATAATACCTCATCACAGAAATATAGACAGATACTGAAGGATTGGATAAATATGGCAACAAAGATGACAACAATAGTCTGAATAATGTAAATAATGTACATAATACCTCATCTCAGAAATATAGGCAGATACTGAAGGATTGGATAAATATAGCAACAAAGATGAGGACAATAGTCCGAATAATGTAAATAGTGTACATAATACCTCATCTCAGAAATATAGGCAGATACTGAAGGATCGGATAATTATGGCAACAAAGATGTTGACAATAGTCCGAATAATGTAAATAGTGTACATAATACCTCATCACAGAAATATAGACAGATACTGAAGGATTGGATAAATATGGCAACAAAGATGACAACAATAGTCTGAATAATGTAAATAATGTACATAATACCTCATCTCAGAAATATAGGCAGATACTGAAGGATTGGATAAATATAGCAACAAAGATGAGGACGATAGTCCAAATAATGTAAATAGTGTACATAATACCTCATCTCAGAAATATAGACAGATACTGAAGGATCAGATAAATATGGCAACAAAGATGAGGACAATAATCCGAATAATGTAAATATTGTACATAATATCTCATCTCAGAAATATAGACAGATACTGAAGGATCGGATAAATATGGTAACAAAGATGAGGGCAATAGTCCAAATAATGTAAATAGTGTACATAATACCTCATCTCAGAAATATAGACTGATACCGGGTTCACACATCGCTAACATTTAACTTTACTCTTGGTCATTTTACTGGTGATGGGTCAATGGAATGAAACTCTCTACATTCTCTGCCTACAGCCCTCACCACTGCCTTAGACACTGTGGAATCAATCTGCCTTGTGAAATACTGGAACCTTTTAATGCCAGGATGCCCACTTTGACAGTGTACTGACCTTATCTTGTCCAAGCTGCATATGTTCACTGATGCTGCACAGAAATTGACACTGGTTCTGGCTCCTTTCTCACTGCTTCGAGCCATCTCCACGGTACCCTTGTCAACTTGTCTGCTCAGTTCTGGTTGAATTTTACCAGCTTTATGTCCACCAATAAGTCATATTCACTTTCCAAGGTGCTGAGCTTCCTCTGAATGAGCAGCTCAAGGCCTTTGTGCATATTCCAGCCTTTCTGGTGAGAGTGCCAGATATCCATCAATGAATACATGCAAAGTCTGTGAATAAGTGCAATATTTTTGCCTTCCAATTGAAGTGCTATGTTAACACCCTCAAGTACGACATCCAACTCAGCTATGTTTATATGCTGAATGTCTTTTTAGGGACACAGTCAGCATGCATTCTCCACTATGTCCTCATTTAACTCAAAGGACACTCCAGTTGCAAGTGAGCATGCATCAACCCATACTTCAAACTCATGTCTGTTAACACATGACTTGCCCCGCACAGGGTCATCCTTTTGTACTCTGGTAATGTTACTTCATCATCCCAGCCAGGTGTAATCTCAGTTGCTCTACATTTGATGAAGGCAATCACAATATGGAGCCAGCCACAAGCAGAAAGTGTCCAGCTAATTTTCTGTATTGTGAAAATATTTTTCGGAGAGTCAAAACTTTGGATCCTTTTGGTACTTTGCACTTACACTTGCAGTACAAGGTGTTCTGCTTCTGCTTTCAAGCCAAGCACTTGCGTATTGTCTGTCAGTCATTCTGGATCTTTGCACGTCAATCCCAAATCAGTGAGATGTCATCTGACATGTGTTGCAGATGTCACATCTTGACATAGCTATCATCAATATAGGTGGAAGTCGTCTGGAGAATGGATTCATCTTTTGCCAACATAGTGTGATTGAGCTCAAGTCTCATTCTTGTCAGGCAGTACCTCCATCCCTTATAAATGATGATTTGAAATGGACACAACAATCGATGCACACGTATGTGTAGGTACAGCTTGTGAAGATCAAGCACAGAAACAATAGGTCCTTTTCTTTGCCATTCTCTTAATTTTTCAACACAAACATCTGCCGTGTATTCATCAACATGCTTGTTTAACTCACAGTAATCTAACACCAGTTGGACCTTTCCTTCTTTTGAACCACCGCTATTAATAAGATCAGGCCCTTTGAGGAACCAAGTTCTTTTTCAGGGTAAGGTATCAGCCACCCGTCATCTATCCATGCCTGTAATTCACGCTGATATTCACTCCTTGCTTGCTTAGACACAGGTACCTGTTTTTTTTAGATGTTCCATCTGACTAGTTCCATGATGTTGTCCTGGCACATTGGCCGAATTCTGCAGTAAAGTTGGGCTGATTTACAGTCATGGCTGCACAAATATGGGAATTAATGAACCTGACTTCATCCATTTTTGCAATGTGAACAGCACCCAACCTCTCAACGGCTTTTATCCTGAGGAGCAGGTCGAATCTTAATAATTTGCTCTCCACAACCAGAACATCTATATTGATGGGTCATCATTGTCTTTGTGAACTTTCATGCTTGTGACTCCTGAACTTCTGACCATCTTTCCATCAGCCGTCAGCATGTTTATCTCGTTTTTTTCCATGGATGACAACTGGATATGTTCATAAACAGACACAAGCAAACCCCATCAGTGTGTGTGTCAATTAGGGGAGTGTCTCATTCATAACTTGCAGGGAAGAAAGACTGGCATTAACGTAGTCAGGTGGAAGAGGCATCAAAACTAGTAGCGCTGCTTTTACATCATGGAGGAGGATGAGGCTGGCACTGATGCATCGCTACCCCCGATCCATTTCCTGGACAATTTTGTGAGAGGTGCCCTGGTTCTTGGCACCTATAGCAGTGGTAGCAATACGCCAAGTTGCTAGCCTCTTCTGGAGGCATTCCCTTGCCAGGTGGTTTGAGCCATTACATTTGTAACACTTGATTCTTGAAGAAGAGCTGAAATAGCTTGTTCAAAAGATTGATATGGCAGCTCAATTACAAAACGAAATAAACAAATTGCAAATCCAAACTCGAAGACCCAGAGGCAGAAAGAAATGTCAAAATGATGAATCGCAGGTCCAATGTCAAAAACCCCAATACACGTAAATGGTCAGAAATCTAATGCACAAGATAACGGTCACTCACAAGCTGACGGACAAGATTGAAAAATAATCTACCACCAATTCTAGAACACCAACCACTTTTATCGATGGAACAATTTTTTTCATTATCGACGGTTGGAGATGACAAATAGCATTAGTATGTCCAAGATTCTGTCATTGACTTTTTTCTATTTTGGTTATTTTGTTTTCGTCATATCGTACGGAACATACGTCCTTTTTCATGGTAAGTGACTTTCTCTTACACCACACTTTGTCTTTAAACAACCTGATTTCTATAGTGATTTGAATATTCTTCAGAATGTCTCTGTGAATGTCCTTAACATTGTTCTCCTTTTAGGTTCTACAATTCCTGATGGGATGACTCAGTCGGATGAGGAACAGTCATTGGATGCAGGAACCCACACTTTTCCTTTTGAGTTTCTGCTGCCAAATGTGCCATCTTCTTTCCGAGGAAATCGGGGCTATGTCAGTCATTCAGCTAAAGCCATTATCAAAAGACTCGGAAAATCAGATTTTCGTCTAGAGAAAGATTTTCATGTGATAAAGCCAATGGATCTGAACATGCTACCTAATGCAAGTGTAAGTATATCTGCTTAAAAAAAAAAAAATCTGCCCTGTTGATGGGGGTTAGAATATGACACCTGCATCCTCTATAGAGGATAAGGATCCCTTCCTGTCCCCACAAAATAGGGCACCCACCAAGAAAGTGCTTACAGAATCAAGTATAAATAACCAATATTTGTCTATGCTGAATCATGTAAATGGTTATAGACTTGAATATAAACAACCAATATTTATACCCATACTAAATACGAGAATGATAAGTCCCTACTAGGTCTGCAGGAGTATCGGGAGGTTCGGGAAACAACACATTATATACAATGACTATGAAGTTTGTAAATAGCACATGTAAATAAAGTTGATAAACATAGATATAATGACATAGAAATTAAGTATTTGTTATTATTACCAAATCTATAACACAAGCCATAATACCTATCCTTGGACTAAGTAAATACTTATAGACACAAATATAAATGACCAATATCTAGATATTCCTGAACCAAGGAAATGTTTGTAGATTGAAATAGAAATTACCAATGTTTATCTATCTCCAAATCAGGTAAATGCTTATAGACTCAAATATAAATTCCTGTCTGAAATAAGAACAAGATGATATATCCCTAGATGGGAACGGTGTAATGAAAACAATCTACCCCATGGATTAAATATTTTACCAATCCCTGAACAGATGAATGCTTATAGACTCAAATATAAATGACCAATATTTTACCAATCCCTAAACCAGATAAATGCTTATAGACTCAAATATAAATGACCAATATTTAGCAATAATAGTGGCTATCCTTCCACAAAAAATTTTTAGAACTTATAAATTTAAAAAAAAAAATTACCATCTCCCTCAAGGACATGAGCACTTAACAGATTTAATAATTATGAATTTGGATTACTTCTTAGGAAAGATAGTGGAGTGGTTTCTCATTGTCATCTCAATGGTCTAGAATTCAGAGTTTTCTCGTAGATTGGTTGCTACCCAGGAGTAGAGCACCAAAGTTAGCCTGTTATTTAACCCGTAGCTAGGGGGAGAAGAAACAGTTATGCTTTTCCCTATGGCATTAGTGTTAAGACAATTTGAAATAATGTGTTAAAGAAACTCTTAAATTACACTTCCCTCTGTAGATAAATAAACTTTAAAAGTATAATATATATATATATATATATATATAAAGAAATATAGTCTTAAGGTGTGCTATATTTATGGGATAAAGTGCTCAATATTAGAGATAGAGCATATGTATATATATATTATAGTATGAGGCAAAAAAGTGGACACACTCATAGAAAGTCGATTGAAGGGTAAATTGCAACTTTTCCAGTGGCCTAGTCAGAGTGATAACCTTAATCCAATTGAAAACCTTGGTGATAATGGACAAGCGTGCCTATAATAAGAAAGTTAATGCAGATGAGTTTTTTTGTGAATTAAAGGAATGATGGAAAAATCTGGTAAAAAGGGGTTGACTTACTAAAGAATTTAGTCTATAGAATTCCATGAAGAAATAAGGCCGTTATTAAAGCAAAAGGTTACCCAACAAAATACTAAATCATTTTTTGACTTGTATAATATACACCTGTATTAATATGCTGTATTAATAAACATATTCTATTACTCACTTGTCTTGCTACAAATACAAAAATTGACTTTCTATGGGTGCATCCTTTTTTTTTTGCCTTGTAATATATATATATATATATATATATATATATATATAATCTCCAGTCAAGCACTCTTGAAAGAAAGTGTGAATTCATAAACAATGACTATTGCTGCTAATGTTGCAAAGCTCTTTCATGAATTGTGCCCTATCGGACATTGGGGTGTTTATTCAAAGTGTAAGTACGTAACATTTGCCTTCCTTTCAATTGAGCACTGATAGTTCAGGGGCAAAATCTCCGAAGCCAAATCAGTTAGGTTTTGCTCCCAGTTAGAGGCAATCAGATGTCTAGTGATACAGTGAAACAGTCTGTCTGCGGATGACACACACACATACATATATATATATATATATATATATATATATATATATATATATATTTTTTTTTTTTTTCCCACTGGTAACACAACACAATCATTAGATGCTTGCATTGTGCATGAAACTCTGGTGAGGATAAATATGTATATTTATTAATATATAGTTTCACTGTTTTATTAACACCAGCATTCAATTTGTGATATTATACATTAAAAATTATAGTTTCATTTTCAGAATTGATTTCAAACTAATAAAACAAATAAAATAAACTAATATAAAATTAATTAACTAAATAAATAAAATTCACAAAAAAGAAACAAAATAAAAGAAATAAATTGAGAAAATTAAACTAATAAAATATTGGTTATTAATTAACAAAATTTGTTATTGTTTATCAATTAAGAAAATAAAATAAAATAACAATAAACTCAAATAAATAATAAACTAAGTAAAAAGAATAAAACATTTTATTTTTCTATTTATTGTTTACTAATTTCTTTCTCTTTTCAGCAAGGTGTTAAGAATCAGATAATCAAACAACCAAATATCTTCTGTTGTCGGTCGGGACCTGTGACAGCATTTCTTGGAGTAGACAAACCTGGCTACACACCAGGAGAGATGGTTGAGTTGAAAGTTGAAATTTCAAACCATTCAGAAAAAGAAGTCTTATGCTCAAGTGTGAAGCTGTATATGGTGAGTAGCTGTGCAATTATTTTTTGACAAACTTAGACTTTCATTATCTGTCTATATTTCTGAGATGAGGTATTATGTACACTATTTACATTATTTGGACTATTGTCTTCATCTTTGTCGCCATATTGATCACAATGTTTTGGCCGTTGTATGATCCGGCCTTCTTCAGATGGTTGGAATGTCAAACTGAACCCTTTATTTCACTCACTGGGGTAGACTGTAAAAAATGTAAAATGGTTGCTGAAGACATTAGGTTTATAATACTCAGAAATTCATACACAGATGTCCTCAAGGACACATGGCACAGTGGATAAAGGTGTTAGTTAGATCCAGTGACAGTCAATCCCTATTGCAGGATCCAGCCCAATACCTGGTTAAGGCAGTGGAGAACTTGGAGAGGGGAATTCATATGATAACTGATAACTGACATCCATTAGACATGGCATGTGGAACGAGAACAGTCTACCCTCGTAGGCAAACTGGATAAAAAAGACAACTGAAAATAGCTCTTAGTAAAAAAAAAAAAAAAATTGCCAATATCCAGAAAGAGGCTTATACAGGAGTTTCTTTTTTAAATTTTTTTAATTTGATGTAACTAATATTTCACTTTTATTTATCATCACTTGCCTTGATAAAGTTGAATGACAAAACACATCAGCAAGGACTAAGAACTATTTTCCAATTGTCTTTTTTATTCAGTTTGTCTTCAGAATTATTCTGAGAAATTATATATATGTGTGTGTGTGTGTGTGTGTGTGTGTGTGTGTAATAAATAATGACCAGCTACTCTTTTCAAGCACACCCATTTGCTAGGGTGGCTAGCCAATCCCTATTGCAGATACCTGTTCAGGCACATTTGTGTTTGTTCAACACCTACAAAGTCCAGCTGTGATTTATACTGCAACAATGCTGAGTGAATCTTAGTTAAGTTTTCTAGGAGAGAGTGCATGATCAGGTGTGATTAACAATTTGTCCAAGACCAGTTTCACTCAAACCCTTGGTCATGATGACTTGTGACTTTGTGTTAGCACAACCATTAATAGGTTCTGAATAGATTTGTTTACCCAATTTTCCTTGCAAAGCTTGGATTAAACCATAGTATGGTTTGTAGACACTTTCCAATGGTGTCACATATATTTTTCATAAAACAAATAATATTAAAACTTTCATAATAGTTGCTACATTTAGTATATGAAATATATCTTCAAATATGATCAATGTTATCAGACAAAGTTTGTAATATTATGATAATAATATCAGTTATTTTAAAATGTTTGAGATTTCTTCTTATTTAGCTTTTTTAATAACAAGAAAAAACAAAAAGAAACTCACAGCAAAATTTGTCCCCTGTCTTAATTTCAGCAAATATTGTCTGCAGCTGATATCTGAAAATGTTTAGGTCAAGGGAGAACTGGACTGAACCTTAGCAGTAGTTGGAAACGAGATAGCTTAGAGAAGAGGTTCGTTTTTCTCTCTCCCTGCTGAAAAGGCAGGCAGTGTTTGCCCATAAGTGAAGGATACATGGGTAACAAAGTTGCCGAGGGCAAATTTTGGGAAGTCCTCTCGAAGAAGTCCCAGAAAAGAAAGTTTGAAAAGAAGTCCATAAGTGGAGTTTCTAGCTAAGGCCGTTTGAGAAGAAGAAGCAAACACATGTGTTTTCAAAAAGTGTTTTACCACATGTTTAAAGTAAATTTTCACCTTCTAGTGGAAAAGCATAATTTCCCAGCAGATGGGAGGAAAATAACTGAAAAAAGAAGGGAGTTTGGTTACCAAGAAGAGAACCTTGTATACACAAGAGAGAAAAGAAAAAAAGATAAAAACTTTTGAACCTTGAAAGGACTGAAGTGTACTAAAGAGTTAGGCTCCCCCCCACTTTTTTTTTTATTGTTATCATTAACACAGCAGGTGGGCACTATTCTTTTTTTTGTTTGTTTTTTGGTGCATTGTAACTTTTAAGTTTGTTTTACTTTTCTGCTATGTTTTTTTATATTGTGTTACTCAGAGAATAGGTTATCTTATTCTCAGCAAAAAAGGAACGGATTTTTGCAAGAACCCTTATTTAGTTAGTTAGAAATAAATATTTTTACTTTGTAATTGAATCTGATTTGCATTTTTTTTCTTTCTTTTTCATTATTATTTCGGGCAATAGTGAAAATACTGTTGCAGCAGGCTTTATTTTCTGAAAGAAAAGAAAATTTTCAAAAGATATGCCAGTTAAAGATATGTCCGCTTTAAATCTGTCAAAGACATGTCCGCTTTAAATCTGTCAAAGACATAACTACTTTAACTCTGTCAAAGATGTGACCTCTTTAAATCTGTCAAAGAAACTTGAAATAAATTATCAGTTACCTGATTGCTTCATAATTTTGCTTTTAAATTTTCAAATTTTTTTTTTTTTTCTTTTCTTTAAAACAAAACAAAATTTCTTCTCTTCCCAGCATGTGCTTTATCATGGCAAGCAAGCTCAGGGTACTGAAGTTCAAACATTGGCTTGTGTCAATCATCCCAGTATTACCCCAGGAGAGACAGATGTGTGGAGTGGGGAAAGGATGATGGTTCCACCCTTGTCTCCTTCAAACCTTGATGGCTGTAACGTGATTGACATCAAATATTTTCTTGTGGTAAGATTTTCACATACGACAATTTTTTTTTGTTTTCACTTGCTTTATAAAACTTTTAATTTTTAAATAAATTACTTTGAAAAATGCAAGGTACAATTCAAAAGGAAAATATAAATTAGCATAAATTAACTTGAATCCAAATATTTTCAAAGTTGTAAGTCCAAAGCAGCAGGGGTGACGTGAATATTTTTTATAACAGCCGAAACAACCTGAATACATGGGCATATGTAACATCACAACAAAGATGATTGTCACCATAGAACAGTGGACAGGCAGAGATATGAGGTTTAATAAGATTTTTGCATGTCAAGGGTAACAGATTGAATAGAAATTTACCTTGGACTTTTTGCTGCAAATAATGAACATGTAATGAGTGGGTAGCAGATATTAGTCTAATTTAGTGTGTTCATCAAGAGCAGGATCTGTGCAAAGGTCCTGTGCCCTCCTCCCCAATCTATGATACAGCCCGATATATCTATGATATGCCCCCAACTCTACTACATGTCAATTTTCATAAGTGTTGTGTCAGAAACCTACCACCCCTCTTGAAGATGAACTTGTCTGCGTCTGTAAACAAAGACTTTAAATAGTGGCATGTCAGTTGACATGGGGGAAGATAGATAGACAGAGAAGTTCTTAGCTGAGCTAATTATTGACTACTCAGGCGATTTCTGTATCTTTTTACCAACCTATTAAAACCCTTTTTATTGTTACGTGTTATTTGGCGTTTGTCTCTACTAACCCCAAATCAACATCATAACAATAAGGTAATATTTATATAAGATACAAATTTAATGGTAACCTAATTATCTACAATAATGGTTCATATGCAATATAGGTGAACAATTCAATTAGAAAAATTGAAAATAAATACAATGTATCTCTAAACACAAATTAGAGACATGTCATAATAGATTGTAGTGGGTGTCACCATTATGTAAGGGTGTGTACTACATATATTTAACTTTGGCTAGGAAAGTCAGGATTAAGGACAATGCGTGGACGCAATGCAATTTATATTTGACGTAAATAGCACATAGTATAAAATACAAAACAGAATGTAATGATTTCAAAACATAACAATTGAATATATTAGTGTTTGGTGTATAAGCGTATAAGCTGAAGGTGTGATAGAGTTATGTCTCTTATAGAATTAGAACAAGTTCCTTTAGTGTGTTAGGAAATGTGAGTTATAAACCTTGGTAAGAGTTCAGAAGAGATTTTAGAGTTTGTACTAGCGTGAATGTTGGTAATGGTCTTTAACGTCTGACCGCAAGGTTAGTTCTTGAAGATTACATCTTGGCAGCAAGGAGAAAGATGAATGAAGAAAAACATGAGGGAGCTTATTCGTGTTTTGTTTATATATGGCTGTGTATCACGTGGGAGGCTCAGAGCATATTGAGCAGGAAAACAGATTTGTCGTGTGCAGGCAGTTTGATTGGTCGGAACTGACCAATCAGCAAGCTAGTTTTGAGAAGATCAACAAATGAATGCTTGTTGCATGATTTGTATGTACTGTGTGTGATAATTACTACAGGGGAAGAGTGCATTTTCCAATTGGGGTGTAACTGGCAAATGTGTAATCTTCCCCGAGATCATTCCATCTTAAATAAATCAACATTATTTTGTGGCAATTTTTAACATCAGTTTGTAGTTTTCTTGTTAAAAGGTTGATGAATTTTAACCCATTCAACATTATGGATAAAAAATAATGAATTTTATATAGTGTTTTTGTTTTAGATTTAGCATAAGTAAAAAGAATTCGGAGATTTGGATGAAAAAAGAACCCAACAATGATGTCAAAATCTGCAACAGATTTCAACAACCTATTCTCATTATTTGCAAATTAGTTTTTCTGTTGTTATTGTAATACAAAGTATATCTGCTTATTATTGGCATTCAGTAACGCCCCACTGTTACCATAATAACAAAATATCCTATTAGTAAATTATGGAGATCAGGCTGCATGACCAATATATATACAAAGTTAAAATTTGTTTTACAAAACATTGTTGTTTTTTTATTTCACCTCAATCAAGGCAACAAAGCCACTAAGATGCAAGGGGTTACTGAGTGTTACAGAATATGAGAAAATAATACACTTTTAAGGAAAGATAACAATAAAAGAACAAGAATTAATTAGACAGTAGATAACGACAGATATTGCATTTAAATTTTTGAAGATCAAAGTTGTCTGGGAAGCAAGAGCTGGAAGAGAGTTCTGCAAACAAGAAATGCTGAGCATAGAACTTATAGTTAAATCTAACCATTTCAACTGTTAAATAATGAGACCTTGCTGCCAATCTAGTACTGCGCTTAAATTCTGAAAGTCTAGGTACTCCAGAGAAAAGTTCATCAGAACAATTACCATGAAAATATTTATAGAAAAGCAGTATTGAAGTGTTTATAGCAGGAGCACCAGACCATATGTGGCAGCAATACTCAAAGCATGGATGAATGGTGTGGGAAATTTAACAACTACCCAAACTGAGTTCTGGCTGACAGACAAAGATGAGACAATTGAAGAGTTTAAAAAACATACTTTATATAAGAAATACATTATACAAAAAGAATGAGAATAGAGGATAGCTAAAAACATATTCTTTTAGCAGTTAAAAGTCAAAACATGTCTGTTGAAATAGATCAAATCACTTATCTGTTGTTTCCGTGTCTTTTTCCAATAACTGCTTTCCATGCATTATTCAAGTTTGCTCATGCCTAGCATCATCTGTTCTTGGAGTAGACAAAAACATGTCTGTTCCATTTAGGGTCATCTCAGCCTCTCTGCTTTGCCAGCTAAATTCTATTTGGTGCCTAATTTTGGGTCTTAACTCTTATTGTATTGCTGCCATATATGGTCTGGAGCCCCTTCTGTTTGCCTCGGGGTTCTTGATAAGCTCCAGAGGCGGACATGCAATATAATTGACCCTGTTCAGGCATCTCATCTACAGTCGCTCTCTTACAGATGCGCCGTCACCTCTCTCTGTCTTTTTTACAAATACTTTCACGATAATTGCTCCACGGACCTGCATTTGCTGGTTCCCAGACTTCATGAATTCAAGCGCCCTACAAGGCTGGCATCACTCTTTCACTGTCGAAACTACTAAATGTAGCTGTCTCTTCTACTCTAATAGCTTCATGTCTCGCACCTCTCGCCTGTGGAACTCCCTTCTCTATTCCAGTTTCCCTGAGAGCTATAATCTCCATCTATTCAAATGTACTGTCAATTGACATCTCCAGTTGACTTGATCTATCCACTATCCTTCTCCTCATCCTTTCCTCTATCACTCCTATCTGATCTTGCTCCAAATCTTCTGTAACCCCTTGCGTCCTAGTGGCTTTCCGCCTTGCTTGGGGTGAAACGCTTAAAGAAAATAAAAAAAAAAAAAAATGGTCTCATCTTGCTAACAGCTGGTATTATCTACCAAAGGGAGATAACCTATTTTTTTATTTTTTTATAATGGTAGATAGATTATAATGTTAGATAGATTCTGGAGAGAAAAATTGTTTGTGGGTTATTATATTTTAACTTGAACAGGAACAGAATCAGTTTTCGACTTGTATCTATTTTTCTTTTCTTTTATTTTGCAGTTAAATGTGAAGCTGGATGAGCCACCATTTGACCTGAATGTTCCCTTGGACATTACAATAGGATCCATTCCTATTACAACAAAGAAAGGCCACATTTATACGTGACCCTCTTGAACCCACATGGACATTGAATGTTCTCTGTTCGTGTGGAGATTTACCATCTACCACCAGTAAAAATGCAGAATAATGGACCCTACCCCTGTGCACCTAAAAAAGATTAAGATTAAATACAAAACAAAAGATTAAGATTATTATTTTTTTTTTTTAAATTATTTAGTAATTAAATAAATAAAAAGAAATCTTTTAAAAAAAAAATTATCAAAAACTTTTTTTCCCAACATTCTAGAGAATATTTTATCAAAAAGATAATTAAAACATGAGAATATTTTAATTTTATTTTACTGATAAAGGGTATAATTAAGGGTATAATTTTACACAGATTTAAATTAAATATCCAATCAGTTTGATTTCTCTAGGGACTTATATTTAAAAATGTAAATATTAATTGTTCAAATTATACTTTAAAAACAACTAAAGGTTGGTTAAGATTGGTTTTAAATTTCAGTAAATATTTTTAATAAAATTCCCTTTTCACAAATAAATTCAATCATTGAATAAGTATCTAAAATATACTGGGTGGTGTGGGATGTTATTCTGCATTTTTGCTATCTACTACCATCGTTTACTACCACTAACAAAATTAGCATCAGTGACTTTTGACAGTTACCAATCTGCCTTCAACTGCTGCTACTGTTAATAACTTTTACAACCACAACTGCTCCAAGGTGACAAAAGGTTCTGCTTACAGAACTGTTCAGTTTCAATGCCAACTTTTTCAGAAATTTTAAACAAATTCCCTCATTTTATTTCCACCTTTGTTAAATAAAACATGTACAAATGTGTGGATTTGGTAAAAAAGGAGGAGGAAAAGAAAAGATGTTCCATCCACAATATTATTTTGAAGGACAATATTGGAGCATGGCCATAATTTAACAATTTAGTTCATATTTGATTGTTAGTCATATAAATATTTTATAATTTATCCAAGAAAATTTTAATGCTCAGTTGAAGTGAACTTTTCTATAATAAAAGTTTAAGACTTCAATAAAAAAAAAACCTTAAAGTAAAAAAAAATGAAAAAAACTACTGACAATAAACGCCATAATTAATCACAAAATACCTGTAAGAATTGCACAAGCATTTCTGAGAATGACACTGGAACTCTTTTTTTTTTTTTAACTATAGTTATCTTACTGATTTTAATTTAAGCAGTTAATTGATTTTTAAAATCTGACAATATTTCTTATGACTATATACATTATATTTAGTTGGTAGACATGCTTGAGTAGACATTCCTATATTATTTGTTTTTTACAGTAATATTAATGTCTACTAGCCGAAAGATCAAAAATCTTACTAAAAAAAATGTTACTCTTAAACAGGATTCAAACATGTGTTCCATTTTTAATCTGGGAAACTACTTTAAAGCTAAACTACAGAAAGCCATCACAGCAAATCAAGAAAAGATGTGCATTTCTCACATAAAGTAATTGGGCTACGCTTTGCTGTGATGGCTTCCTGTAGCTAAACATTAAAGTACATTTGGCTTGAAAGTGGTTTCCAATATTAAAAAGTGACTACAGGTTTGTTCTTTGTCAATAGACATATTTTTTTTAGCAAAACTTTCAATAAAAAAACCCAAAATGTCTACTCAAACACGTGTAACCATGAAATATAACATTATCATAATAATATATATATATATATATATATATATATATATATATATATATATATATATATATATATATTTACAAGGGGTTGAAAAGCTGTTGGTCAATGCTTCCCCAAAATCAGTGGTCATTGAAATACTAATTTTGGGAGGTAGGTCAGACTAAGAACTTTTCAGCACCCTCTCATATACTATTTAATCAAATTTGTATTATCTCAGATTGAATGCTTGATGACCAAAAAGCTCAAATCTGAAATTACTTTAGAGATATACATATATATATACACACACATATATACATATAAATATATATATATATATATATATATATGAGGTCTGATCAAAAACAATCAGGACTGTTGCTATGGTAACAGAGTTATAGTATAGAGAATGAAGCTGCATGTGTAGTGGAGTTATAACTCTGAGAAAATAATTATAAAACCCCTAACATTTATAGACACGAAAAAAATATAAAAATGAGAAACAGCAAGATGTGGAAACAACAAGTATTATTTATTATCTGGTTGTTATGTGGTGTTGGAGATATAAGAGACAGTAATACTGAGTAAAATTGTAAGTTTGGGGTCAAATGTAAATCAAATATGGATCGGAATCTGACAGAATGATAAGATAAAGAATAAGTAAAGTGCATACATTCTTTATCGTATGATTTTTTTTATAGATATGTGTAATTAGTGCCCAGATAATGTAGTTGGAAAATACTAGAAGTGTTTGGGGTTTTCTTACCTCAAGTTTTGAGTGCTAAGAGTTAAATGTTACTATTATGGCCTGAAAAATGAAAAGTAGCCAAAATTTTAATTGATACACTTGTTGACAGCTTGTCCATGTTGACTGTCTGTCTGATAGTGAGTATATCACATGTTTGTGTGCATAGAAGAGAAAAGTGGGGTTGACTCTCATTTATTTAGAAAGAGTGAATTAATGATAATTATAATTGTTATAACTATTTTATTATAATAATTTTTGACACTATAATTAATTTTTTATTTATTTTTTTTATAGATATGACACAGTGACAGTATAATTCATTTTTTATTTATTTTTTTTATGGATATGACACAGTGACAGTATAATTCATTTTTTATTTATTTCTTTCTTTATGGACACAACAGTGTCTTTGGTATGATAGATGAATTGGTACTGACGAACAGCACTTGTACATTGTTGCATTAATTCCTTTTACAATAACAACTATTAAGAATAATGATAAAGTTTGAGTAAATACTATTTTGAAGATGGGCCACAAGAAGATGGAAGATTTGACCACAAAACTCCCAATTTATTCAGAATGTGTCTGCCTAAGACATATACTGAATAAATTGGGAGTTTTGTGGTCAAATGTAGATCAAATATGGACTGGAATCTGACAGAATGATAAGATATAGAATAAGTAAATTGTATACAGTCTTTATCATATGATTTTTTTTATAGATGTGTGCAATGAGAGTCCAGATAATTTAGTTGGAAAATGCAAGAAGTGTTTGGGGTTTTATTACCTCAAATTTTTGTTGAGTGCTAATACATAAATGTTACCATTATGGCCTGGGAAAAGAAAAATAATCAAAATTTTTGTCGATACATGTGTTGATGCCATGTTCATGCTGACTGCCTGTCCAATAGCGAGAATGTCATGATATCATGTGTGGCTGTGTGTGTGTGTGTGTGTGTGCATAGAGGAGGAAAGTGGGGTTGATACTCATTGGTTTAAAATGAGTGAATTAATGATAATTATAATTATTTAATTAATTTTCACACTATAATTAATTTTTATTTATTTACTTTTATGAACATAGCACAGTGACAATATGATTAATTTTTTATGTATTTCATTATGGACCCAAACACATGGCACAGATTGACCTTGAACTCTGTTGCGCATGCAAACTAAGTTATAGTGATTTCACTCACTTGCATTATTTATAGCATTGCTTGAAAGGAAAGTGTGTAGAGTAAGGTTGTCTCCACCCCCATACTATCAATGACCATGGCTTTTGCAGCAGTTTTGGGCCAAGGACAACATTTCCCAGGTCTGGCAACCACCATATTCACAAGATCTCACCAATTGCAACTTTTTCATCGACAAAAATCAAATCCCAGTTGAAAGGAAGAAAATATCAAGAGAAGCAGCTGCTCACTATTCCAAAAAGGGAGTTCCACGAATGCTTCCATTAATGGTAATGACACTGAATAAAATGTATGGATTAAGAAGGGGACTACTTCAAAAGAAATTAAATGCTGAATTGATATGTTTTGTAGTTTTCTTTTTATGGCATCAGTCCCATTTTTGATCAGACCTTGTATACATAAGGTGGGTAGATACATTTCTTTTTTTTTTTTTTTTTTTTTTTAATTCCAGCTTCTACAGGAATATATGCTATCATGACTTTTCCGTTTCCTTTTCTTATTATCTACGAATTGTCATACATTCTTGTGGAAAGGTAATGGAATGGTTCCTCATTGCAATCTCCATGGTTTGGAATTCATAGTTTTCATTCTCTTAGATTAGTTGCCATCCAAGGGGTGGAAAAAACAGATCCATGCCCTTCCCAAGGGCATTTATATGAAAGTGAACATGAAAGACGAAGTTAAGTTTTGAATTTGGTTAACCAGTTCCACTTTCTACACCAATAACCAACACACTACTCATACATGTATAACCATACATCCATATAGGAGGAGTGTTGAAAATTTCTTGGAAATTAGGCTGGGTCAAGAATTTTTCAGCACTTTGTGCTGTCCCCAGTTTTTTTGGAAAGCTCAATAACCAAATAACATGTATAACTCCTGAAATTAGAAAGACTTGTTTGCATACACAGATGTACCTTATCTGATGGCATATAAGAACCCTAGCTAACCACTATTTACATTTTAATATTACAGTATTATGGAGTCAGGCTATGTTCACGTACTTGTAGTCTATGGCATCTGGGAAAATCTTGCTCAACCAGATACCTCAACGTTGCATATAAAACACAGAGAATGTTTATTTTTTGAGCTGGATTATTTTTTTCGATGTGTAAGGGGAGAGAGTAAAGTGACTGAAATGCCATCAAACATGGTACATAAAAAAAAGTTTAGATAATGATTTATAAATATATGCATATTTGTGTGCATATGACTGTGCAAACACAGACACAAACACTTTCTATTTCTGTTTTTCTCTCTCTCTCTCTCTATATATATATATATATATATATAATGTTTCAATTTCCAAAAATTTTATGAACTGGATGGGGGCTCAGATAAAAGCAGGGGTACTTTTTTTTTTTATCCAAAGACACGAATAATTAAAAGGTATTCATAATTATGTACAAAGCTGAATTGGATTTGTTAAGATTTTGTAGGTAATAGA